TAGAGTAAAACCAAGCGGTATCAGCGACCAAGGTTACAAAACCGAAACTGTGCAAATAAAATGACCTGCCGATACATTTAAACCACTGTGGTTATGGTCAAATAATATCAATTATAATGCATACCAACCATTTATTTATTAACAAATGTCAAACTAACTGCATTTAGCTGCAAGTAATACATTAATACCTGAACTGGACATCTGTCCAGTTTATGTCCAGTTTGCTACGTTTACTGGTACGATTGTGCTACCAGGGAAGTCATAATCAGGTATTTACAACTGTACAGACATTTTATTGCGACTGTAACAATGACAGTAGAAAATTGTTCATATGTCCGTAATTGGAACCGTACAGTGGTGAAAATGCGCAACAATAATCTGGCTGTCATGAGATGGGGACCCGTTTGTTTGGACATAATCGGTCTGCCATACCTTGCAGTCATACCTCAGCTAATAACAGATTGAGAATCCTGAATGAGCCACTGGAAGATAATTGAAGAGCAGGCTTGAGAATATGACAATGCAGTGAGTTCGTGCATAAGTAACGTAAAGGTCAACGGTGAGATCGTAGGAAGTAACAAGACGACAATATATGCGTGAAATCTACAAAGTGGAGACGACCGTATTTGCAGATGTAGAAGTTCCAGTGTAACAAACCTATCTAGATTGGTGATGCACGTTGACCTGCCAGTGTGAAATTATGGGCTGTGACTACATTCGGTGACGCGTCGCAATCGCCACTTTGCAGTGTTGTTATACGGACACTTGTGACTTTTTATAGGGAGAACGCTTGCCAGGCGAGAACCCACCACGTCCCGAAACTGTTGCCAATCCATTGAATGGCAAGTTGTAACTGGCTATGTTTCTTGTTGGACGTTTGGTTGCTTTGTTATTTGCAGTCAATTAGCGTCCCATTTTTCTGCTGGCTGACGTAGTCGCAGCACCGTTACCCCGCAAATCCTAGTGCGCAATAAACAGTTTATGGTCATTTTATGGCATGATTCCCGGCTACCTTTCTGCCTTTGCTGTTTTATTCATTTCTGTGCAAAGCTGCCATTGCAATTGTTTGAATGTGTTGGAAACCAGATACGCGGTTAGAACAGTATTTTCGAATCCAAGGTCAAGTTCAAGTTCAGTTGGGACCGAAACGATAGGATAATCCCGTGAATGTTCCTTCTTTTGCGTATCGTCGGATCGGGAATTGACAGGTCAGCTTGAGATGTTAAAATGCCTAAAACAAAGACCGCATCACACCCTGTCCAAAACATTATTGCCCACTTTTCCTGCCCAGCAATCACTCACAGTCTGTGTGT